TCACCACTCACCCTTCACCACTCACCCTTCACCACTCACCCCTCACCCCTCACCACTCACCCCTCACCACTCTCCCCTCACCGCTCACCCTTCACCGCTCACCACTCACCCCTCACCACTCACCCCTCACCGCTCACCCCTCACCCCTCACCGCTCACCCCTCACCCATCACCACTCACCCCTAACCACTCACCCCTCACCCATCCCACTCACCCCTCACCACTCACCCCTCACCCCTCACCACTCACCCCTCACCCATCACTCCTCACCCCTCACCACTCACCCCTCACCACTCACCCCTGACCACTCACCCCTCACCACTTACTCATCACCCCTAACCACTCACCCCTCACCCATCACCACTCACCCCTCACCACTCACCCCTCACCACTCATCCCTCACTCCCCACCACTCACGACTCACCCCTCACCACTCACCCCTCACGACTCACCCCTCACGACTCACCCCTCACAACTCACCCCTTACCTCTCACAAACCACCCCTCACCCCTCACCCCTCACCACTCACACCTCACACTCACCCCTCACCCCCACACCTCACCCCTCACCGCTCACCACTCACCCGTCACCCCTCATCACTCACCACTCACACCTCACCCCTCACCGCTCACCACTCACCGCTCACCACTCACCCGTCACCCCTCATCACTCACCCCTCACCACTCACCCCTCACCCCTCACCGCTCACCACTCACCCGTCACCCCTCACCCCTCACCCCTCACCGCTCACCACTCACCCGTCACCCCTCACCGCTCACCCCTCACCACCCACCCTCACTCCTCAACTCTCACCACTCACCCCTCACTCCTCACTCCTCACTCCCCACCACTCACCCTCACCACTCACCCCTCACCCCTCACCCCCACCCCTCACCCCTCACCACTCACCGCTCACCCCTCACCACTCACACCCTCACCCCTCACCACTCACCCCTCACCACTCACTCCTCACTCCCCACCCACTCACCCTCACCACTCACCCCTCACCCCCCACCCCTCACCCCTCACCACTCACCGCTCACCCCTCACCACTCACCCCTCACCACTCACCCCTCACTCCCCACTCCCCATCACTCACCCCTCACCCCCCACCCCTCACCCCTCACCACTCACCGCTCACCCCTCACCACTCACCCCTCACTCCCCACTCCCCACCACTCACCCCTCACCACTCACCCCTCACTCCCCACCACTCACCCCTCACCACTCACCTCTCACCACTCACCCCTCACCCCTCACCCCAGCTCTGGGATAAAAGCGGAGCGGAGTTCAGGCACGGATTCGACTCCAAAGTCGATGCCGACAATAATGATGATAATGACAATGATGATGATGACAATGATGATGATGATGACAATATTGATAATGAACCCAGAATCAGATGATGACAGTGAATAACGCGGTTAATGGTCATGTTGATGATGCTGATGATCTCTGGGAGACAAGCTCGATGATTTGATGCTGAATCTCGATAAATGCTTTGAGAAATTATTGATTATGCTGCTGCTGATTATGATGACTTGTTTGATGATGATGATGACGAATCAGTATGGTAAGCTGACCGACTGATAGACATTATATTTTATCTATTAAAATTTCGCATTGGAGAATGGCTGGAGATGTTTAGCCAAGCAATGGAACGGCGTTCGACAACAGTACGTCCAACGTGGAGATGGAGCGATAACGAGATCAGCCCATCGCTGTGCAGAGCATCGGCCGGCGGTCGGATCGTTACATCGCAGGATCGTGAGCGGTTAGCGGCGGCTTGGGTGGAGGCCTTCATCCAGCAGTGGATTGACCATGGCTGATGATGATGATGATGCTGCTGCTTTATTGGCTGATGATAGAAGCGTTGGATGCTGATGATGATGATGACGGTGAAGAGCGAGTGGTGGTGGTGGTGGGGGGGGGCTCTCTCTCTCTCCGCGCTTTACCCGCGGAATCTGCAGCGCCAAGAGCTGCGTCTCCATTCTAAGCACGTCCCGTTTCCCTCACACACCGCGTCTCCCTCCTCCTCCTCAACCGCATCTCCCTCCTCCTCCTCCTCCACCTCACACCGCGTCTCCCTCCTCCTCCTCCTCCACCACCTCACCGCGTCTCACCTCCTCCTCACTGCATCTCCCTCCTCCTCCTCACCGTGTCTCCCTCCACCTCCACCTCACCGCGTCTCACCTCCTCCTCTTCACCTCCTCCTCCTCCACCTCCTCCACCTCACCGCGTCTCATTCAACCACACCGCGTCTCCCTCACAAACCGCGTCTCCCCTCTCCTGCTCACCGGGTTTCACTCGCCCACACCGCGCCTCACCCCCACTCGCCATCTCTCTCACACAGGACGTCTCCCTCCTCCTCCTCCACACCGCGTCTCACCTCCTTCTCCTCCTCACCCAGGTCCTGTCTCCCTTCTCACCGGGTCTCACTCACCCACACCGACTCACCCTCCTCACTACACCAACTCACCCTCCACCTCACCACGTCTCCCCTCACCAAGTCACCCTCTTCACCACACCAAGTCATCCTTCTGCTCATCGCGTCTCCCCTCACCAACTCACCCTCCACCTCACCGCGTCTCCCCTCACCAACTCACCCTCCACCTCACCGCGTCTCCTCTCACCCAGACCAAGTCGCCCTCCTCTTCACTGCACCTTCCCTCACCAACATCAAGCCACACTCCTCCTCACCACGTCTCCCCTCACCAACTCACCCTCCACCTCACCACGTCTCCCCTCACCAACTCACCCTCCACCTCACCACGTCTCCCCTCACCAACTCACACTCCACCTCACCATGTCTCCACCACAGCGAGTCAACCTCTTGCTCTCCCTCTCGTCTCCCCTTAGACCGAGTCTCGCTCACCCCTATTCCACACCTCACCAGCATCGCGTCCCCCTCGTCACACGTCTCCCCTTACACCTCGTCTCTCTCCCCACCCTCCTCACCTTGTCCCTCTCCTCACCTCTTCACCCTCCTCACCTCGTCTCTCTCCCCACCCTCCTCACCTCTTCACTATCATCACCTCGTCTCTCTCCCCACCCTCCTCACCTCTTCACTATCATCACCTCGTCTCTCTCCTCACCCTCCTCACCTCTTCACTATCATCACCTCGTCTCTCTCCCCACCTCGTCACCCTCCTCACCTCTCCCCTTACACCTCGTCTCTCTCCTCACCCTCCTCACCTCTTCACTATCATCACCTCGTCTCTCTCCCCACCCTCCTCACCTCTTCACTATCATCACCTCGTCTCTCTCCTCACCCTCCTCACCTCTTCACTATCATCACCTCGTCTCTCTCCCCACCCTCCTCACCTCTTCACTATCATCACCTCGTCTCTCTCCTCACCCTCCTCACCTCTTCACTATCATCACCTCGTCTCTCTCCCCACCCTCCTCACCTCTTCACTATCATCACCTCGTCTCTCTCCTCACCCTCCTCACCTCTTCACTATCATCACCTCGTCTCTCTCCTCACCCTCCTCACCTCTTCACTATCATCACCTCGTCTCTCTCCCCACCTCGTCACCCTCCTCACCTCTCCCCTTACACCTCGTCTCTCTCCTTACCTTCCTCACCTCTTCACCCTCCTCACCTCTTCACTCTCATCACCTCTCCACGTCAAGGCCTGCCCCCCCCACCCCACGCTCTGCTACCCATAGCCACGTCCCGAGTGATGGTGCCCCCCACTGCCCCCCCCCCCAATCTCAGACCAACAACAAAAACAACCAAACACGACCCCCCCCCCCCACCACCACCACCACACAAAGATCCCCCGTATAGCCTCATCGGCCTGTTGGGGCAAGTGTTGCGAAAGAAGGCCGACAAGGCGCCTAGGAGGGCGGGCAGCACCACGCCCGGCCGCCTTTGTCTCCCTAGCTGCTACGTTTACACGTCGCACCGGGTACTCAATCGAGGCTGAGTCGACCTAGGGGAGGCCCAGGTACCGGATCTGACAATATAATCATCGGTGGCCGTACGCGAGACACAGGACCCCGGGTTCGTAGCCGCGGCGCGCTGACCACTACGTTACCGCTCCCCCACAACGCACAAAGCTCCCCCGTGTAGCCTGTAGCAGACTGTAGGGGCAAGTGCTGTTAGCGAGCACCTGTGAAGGCCGGCACGGCACACGAGGGGGTGGGTGGCCAGCACCACGCCCGACCGTCTTTGTTTCCCCAGCGGCGATGTTTACACGTCGCACCGGGTACTCGTTTGAGGCTGAGTCGACCTAGCGGAGGCCCAGAACCGGTTCAGATAATCGTCACCGGCTGTTGGCCGTGAATCGAACCCGGGTCGCCGGGTTCGCATCGCAGTGGGCGCTGACCGCGACACGACCGCTCCCCACCACACAGACGCACACAGCCACACACAGGCAGACACACACAGGCAGACACACACAGCCACACACAGGCAGACACACAGAGCCACACACAGAGCCACACACAGACACACATACACAGCCACCCACACACACAGACAGCCACACACACAGCCACCCACACACACAGACAGACAGCCACACACACAGCCACCCACACACACAGACAGCTACCCACCCACACACACAGACAGACACACACACAGCCACAGACAGACACACACACAGCCACACACACACAGCCACACACAGACAGACACACAGAGCCACACACAGACACACACACAGACAGCCAGCCACACAGACAGACACACACACAGCCACACACTCACAGACAGACACACAACCACACACACACTCACAGACACACAGACAGACACACAGCCACACACAGACACACACGCATACAGCCACACACGCACACGCACGCACACAGACAGGTAGAGAACATCGCGAACCACAGCCGCTCCCACGGACGCGACCAGGGATCAGGGGAGCGTGGGTCCCCAGCGGGGGGATCAAGAGCCCAGCGTAGAGCGGTGGGGGTCTTGCCCCCCCACACATCCCCTGAACTCGCTCCATCTGCTACCCCCCCCCCGCCCCACCTCTCTCACCGTTCTGTTGATGCGGCGGCGGCGGCTGCCGGTGGAGTCCTCGCGCGCAAGAAGAGCCGAGCGGGGAGAGTCGCCCCCCCAGCCCCCCCCCCCGAGATCCCCCCGGGTTAGAGCCCCCCCCCTCTCCTCCTCAAGCCGCCAGCAGCAGCAGCACCACCACGACGACGACGCGGGGATTTTCCGCCCGCAGGATGCGCAGGGATGAGAGGAAGCGCGGACGAGGAGGAGGATTTTCAGAAAAACTCAATTCACGGCCTCGGCGCGTCCGCGACGAGCGTCCATCGCCCGCCACGCGAATCACGAAGCGAGAGAGAGAGAGAGATAATCGCCGAGAGATACACGGCGAGAGAGAGAGCGAGAGAGAGAGAAATGGAGAGAAAGGCGGCGAGAGAGAGAATCACGCGGAGGAATCGCCGCCGCTGCCACCGCCGTCGCCTGCGCCGCACGCCTCGCGATCTGTGCCGGAATGCGGCGCACGGAGGAGAAGAGGGGAGGGAGCGCGGTGCAGACAGGGGAGGGGAGGTGGGAGGGAGATGGAAGGATGGAGGAGGGAGGGAGATGCAGGAGGGAGGGGAGTGGAGGGACGGCGGGAGGGTGGAGGGGGGGGGGAGGGTGGAGGGGGGGGGGGAGGGTGGAGGGGGAGGGTGGAGGGGGGGGGGAGGGTGGAGGGGGGGGGGGAGGGTGGAGGGGGGGGGGAGGGTGGAGGGGGGGAGGGTGGAGGGGGGTAGAAGGGGGTGGAGGGGGGGGGGTGGAGGGGGGGGGGTGGAGGGGGGGGGGGTGGAGGGGGGGGGGGTGGAGGGGGGGGGGGGGGTGGAGGGGGGGGGGTGGAGGGGGGTGGAGGGGGGTGGAGGGGGTGGAGGGTGGTGGGGGGTGGAGGGTGGAGGGGAGGTCGGAGGTGAGGGAGATGGAAGGATGGAGGAGGGAGGGAGATGCAGGAGGGAGGAGAGGGAGGGGGTGGAAGGAGGGGAGTGGAGGGACGAGGGAGGGTGGTGGAGGGGGGGGTGGAGGTCGGAGGTGAGGGAGATGGAAGGATGGAGGGAGGGAGATGCAGAAGGGAGGGAGGGGGTGGAGGGATGGGGTGGAAGGAGGGGAGTGGAGGGACGGAGGGAGGTGGAAGGAGGGGAGTGGAGGGAGGGTGGAGGGGAGGAGGGTGGAGGGGGGAGGAGGGTGGAGGGGGGGAAGGGTGGAGGGGGGGGAGGAGGGTGGAGGGGGGGAGGAGGGTGGAGGGGGGGAGGAGGGTGGAGGGGGGGAGGAGGGAGGGAGGGGAGGGGGGTGGAGGGGAGGGGGGTGGAGGGAGGGGAGGGGGGTGGAGGGAGGGGAGGGATGGGGGGATGAAAGAGCGAGGAATTGAGAGGCGAGAGGGAGATGGAGGATTGGAGAGGGAGGAGAGAGGGGAGGGGGATGTAGGAATGAAGGAGAGATGAAGGGAGGAGGGGAGAGAGATGGAAGGAGGGCGAGGGATGAGAGAGGGGAGAGAGATGGAGGAAGATAAGGGAAGGATGGACGAGGAAAATAGGAGGCAGGAGAGGGGAGGGAGTGGGAGGGGAGGGAGGGTGATGGATGGGTACGGGGAATGGAGAAGAGAAGGCAAACGAAGGGGTAGAAGAGACGGGGGGGGGGGGGGGGTGGAAGGGAGATGGAGGATGACAGGAGATGATGGAGAGGGAGATGGAGGGGTGAGAGGGAATGTAGATTGAGAAGACAGGGGAGGAGACGGAGGGGAGTGAAATGAGAAGACGGCGTGGAGGGAGATGTGGAAGGAGGGGGTAACGAAGCGAGCGAGGGAGGGGAGGGAGATGGTGGAGCTGGAGGCGAGAAGCAGCAGGAGGAGGAGGAGGGGGGAGATGGGAGGGGGATAAATGAAGGGCGGAGGGGAGGGAGGTGGGGAGACGTATTGCCTGAGGTCAGGTAGGGCATCCACCTGTTTCAGGTGCACAGCTGTGTGCGCGCGCGTGCGTGCGAATCTTCCACAACTCTTCCCCCTCCCACACACACACGTGGATTGCTTATCTGCGTCGCACTCCGAAGCCCCGCGGCTCCCGTTGCTGTGACCGACGCAGATGCACCAGCGTCGCCCGGCCCGTGTCGGGGAGCCGTGCAGTCCCGTCCGGTGGCGCCCTTTGCGAAAAACCTTCAATGTGACCGCGACGGGATCAGGGCTACGTTGCAACGCCGCCACCGCCGCACTGAGTCTGGGATCGTTCGATCACGAAGCGACATTAAACCGCGACCCTGGATTTAAATCATAGTTCCAAACCCTGGATATAAACCCTGGTTCTAAATCCTGGCTGTAAACGCTGAGTCTAAACCATAGCTCTGAACCTTAGATCTAAACCATGGTTTAAAACTTGGAATAAAAATCCTGGATCTGAACCTTGGGGGGATTTAAATTCGGAATCTAAACCCCAACTCGAAACCTTAGATCTAAACCCTGGATCGGAACACCTTGGTTATAAACCCCGACTCTAAACCTTAGCTCCAAACCCTGCCTCTAAACTCTGGCTTTATACGCTGGATCTAAAAACCCTGCTTGTAAGAAAAACTCAATCCTAATGGCGACCCATATCCGCCGGGCCGGGTCGCCAGCACACCACCCGGGTCACCTTCGCCTCCCCCAGTGCCGATGCGCACACGGCACGCCAGGCACTTATTTTAGGCCGAGTCGACTTAGGGGAGGCCCTGAACCCGTTCAGTTGGCCTCACTGCTCCACTTTGGAATTCCCCTGCCACCACCGCCACCGTCGTCTCTTTTCGCCCGATCTCCCAACACAACAACAGCAGCAGCAACAACAGCCGCGGCTCAATTCAGGAGAAATGCGTCACAACTCGAATCGAGTGCAACCGAGAAACGGTGCTGTTTGTCGCTGACCGCTCGATGCTTTGGGCCAATCGTAGGTCTGTGGCTCAGCAAATGCGTTTAAATAAATAAATCTCCTACCCCCCCCCCCCCCCACAACATCCATAGCCCAGCCAGCGTCAATTGCCACCTTCGGCCTCGCACTGCGCCGGGAGCCCAAACAGGCGTGGGGGTCAGTCGTGTGGTGTGCAGGGTCGTACAACAAAGTTTATTGATGCAGGGTTAAATTCAATTCCCAACGTACGCAACAATAACAACAATAATAATAATAAACGATGATTCGTCTACGTGCGCTACGCGAATATTTATATAAACAACGAGTTGTTGACGGGGGCTGTGTGCGCCATCGCGGCCCAAGCACCCACTGGGTGGCAGAGTCCCCAGAGAAGTCTCAGACAAACCAAAGAGCCCGTGGCCCCTTGCGGGGTGATGGCAAAAGTTGTGTGGAGGGGGGGGGGGCGTTGTTAGAAGAGGGGGGAAGGTAGGGGCTGACCAACCCCCGCCTCTAGAAAATTAGCGCCCCCCCCCTCCCCACGCGTATAACCGTTCAGAACTCACCCAGAAAGCATTGCACACGACGGCCAGCCCCGTCACGGATGGGGCATCGAAACGTCTAAGACATAAGGCGCCGTCTCCCTTGTGCTCATCAGAGCCAGTTTACTTAAGGCACAGAGGCCCTCCGCGCTCAGCTTATCAGACGGCAAGCGTGCCGTGGTGGCACGGTTGGCTGCGTGCGGCGCGAAAGAAGTTCAGCATATACGTAACGTGCGCACACGAAGGTGCCGCCGCCGCAGACACGTTCGATTCACTCCTGATGTCGGTGGCCGTCGAAGAACATCGGGGAACTGCGAGCGTCGGGAGCTGGTGGTGGGGGGAAGTGCGAAGGGTTTCCCGACCAGGTACCCAAAGCCATCAGCTCCCAAACAGGAAAGGGCAGGGCAGAGGAGGGCATCAAATGCAGAGGAGAGAATGCAAGAAGCGGGCAGGGAGAAATCGCGGCCGAGGAGAGGGCAAGACGTGGGATGAGGGCAGGGCAGGGCAGGGCCATCTCAGCTGGAGGCCCCAGGAATGGTGTGGGCAGCATCTCCCCCCCCGGGCAGGGTAGTGCAGGGCCATCTCAGCTGGAGGCCCCAGGAATGGTGTGGGCAGCATCTCCCCCCCCACCCCCCCACCCCCCCTCCCAGAAGAGACCGCCCCGAAGCCACGGTCGCACCCGGCCCCGCCGCTGAAGAAAATAAAAACCGCGCGTGAGCTGCCGAGATGGACGCTCGTCGCTCGCGAACGCGACGCGGCCCCATCAGCGGCGCGCAACACTCGACCAAATGTGGATCAAGAGGCCGTCCCGGGGTCGCGACCCAGAGGCACGGGGTCGCGGAGCCGTGCGGCGCGTCCGGTGCCCGCGAGCGGGAGCCAGGAGCCGGCAGCGGCCGGTTCCCAGGTTCCACCGCGGCCATGCGGGGCCGGGGACCGGAACGGGGATCGATGCGGATCAATGGAGGTCACAGAGTCAACGAGAACCGCCCGAAGTCCGGGGAGTGGGTGGGGGGAGGGGTAGGGGCCAGGTATTGCAGGACCAAGCGACGGCCCGATCTGCACACTGGGGGCGACGTGGGGGGGTGGTGCTGGGGAGAACGCGCGAGGGGGCGGTGGTCCAAGAGTTGTTGACGGTTGGATGCTACTCGTGTTAGGGGGGGGGGGCTCCCAATCCCCGTGAAGGAAGTGTGGAGGAAGACGTTGGGGAGTGGGCCCCCCTCTCTTCCCAAAAGTCAGTGGCTCTTAGTGTGCGAGCACCCTCCCCCCTGCCTGCCACCCCCGCTATCCGCTCAGCCAGATCCTCGTGAATCTGTGCCAGCGGGGAGGGGGGACCGTGGCGCAGGGCACCCCCCGGGTTCTGGAGGTCGGCCGCTGGGCCAGCGTCCGTGGCGGGACGACGGGAAGCTGCGTCGCTTGTGGGCGGCACGGCGGCGGTGGGTCCACGGTGCCGGCGAGGTCTGTAGTGGCGAGGAAAGAGCCCCCCCCCCACCCCGGCTGACGAGGCGAGGGCGATGATGGTGGCGGTGTTCACAGCAGACGGGCTGTCGACTGGCTGATGGTGTGGTGCCTGGGCTTCTCCATTAGCGCCGGCAGGCTCACCAGGGACGGCGAGCGCATGGCCTGCACGCACGCACGAAACAAATATCCCCCCCCACAAATTATTCGGACCGCTTGCACCAAGCGGCGATCGCCTACGAAGGCCGGCGTGGCACACGAGGGGCGGTGGGTCGTGTCGCCGGCCCCCCCCCGTCTTACCCGGCGCCGATGTCGGCAGCACGCCACAGCAGCGGACTCATTTCACCCGAGTCGATTTACGGGAGACCAAACAACCGTTTCAGACGTCCGCCGGTGTCGGCCGTGGCCGGGGAGCCGAATTTGGCTCGCCGGGTTTGTGGCGCAGTGTGCTAACCACTGCGGGGCTGGGAGGGGGTTGATGATGCGTGCATTTCCTCGAGGAACGTGGAACCGCTTGCGCGACAATCAACGCGTCCCTTATTCGTTTGAAGGAGGTTCGAGGTTAAGCTGCACTTTCATTTTCAGACTTTTTGTCATTTGCAACGCGTTTTGCGTCACCGGCGGTTGTTGGCGTCAACTCCGTATTGCCAGCAGCGTAGAATCATCCTTAAGGTCATTTGCGTAGCAACACCTCGCTGCCACATTCTCATCCTCGCCCCCCACCGACTCTCGCCCCCCATCCCTAAACGCTTTGTGGCACTTGAACTTGCCTCTGCGTGCCAGAAGACGCGCATCGCCAGACCGCACGGATCTAACCTACCGTGAATCTCAGCCACTTTCACTTTTTTCCCTTTTCCCCCTTTCCCGGAGGCTTCGTCGCACAACATCTGCTGCCACTCCCCCCCATCCCCGACAGTGCCATCGTTTCGCTGCCATTTTTTAAATACCCAGACTGCCTTGCTTGGCCAACACGTGACTTCACACCGGAGCTGCCAGGTGTTGACTCAATCCGCCGCCGCAAAACTTTACGGAGCGGCGCGTCGCTCTTTTGCGTTTCTCTTCGAACAGAAAAAAATTGCAGGTTAACCTTGAACCACCATCATGAATAACATTAATAATAATCAATTAGTGGATTGAGTCGTGGGTGGGTGAATCATGACACCCAGAGCAAGCGAGGGAGCGGCGTGCGCTGTGATCAGAGACTCGAGTGGCCGTGAACACAAAGGTAAAGGTCCCCCCCGTAGCCTGTGCAGGCTGTTGGGGCAAGTGCGGTGAGCGAGCACCGCACATGATACGCAACTAAGACGAAAATTTACCCTAAAAGCGCTTGCTAGGACCGGCTCAGACATTTGCCAATGTTGTTGGCCGTGAGCGGAAATGTACATTTGGGTTGCTGGGTGCGTGGCACAGTGGCGTTGACCACTGTGCCCCCGCGTGAACGCACGCGCACACATAAACACACAAAGACGAGCGCGCGCACACACGTGAACACGCACACACGTGAACACGCACACGCGTGATGCCCAGTGTGACACACAGAGGGTAAGGGGTGCGCCCAGCCCATTCCGATCCAAAGCACGCACACACACCAAGCGGCGGCGATTTCGTCGCGTCTGTGCCAAGCTAGGTGCACACCGAAGCCACGTGAAATGTCAAAAGCGCACACACCCCAACCTCCACCAGGGTGCAACACGCTCACGCCCCTGGAGGCCAGCTTCTCAAAATCCCAGCTCTCCGCGCTCATCGCCCGTCTACAGCGTCTACGGGGGCTCGGGCGAGCCGGCTCCGATCCACGCTCAGCAACTCGAGCCGGCTCCGAGCAAATTGTCCCGGCCGCGTGCTCAGGATGTCCGTCGAGTCGAGCCTGAGCCCGAGCCGAGTCTCGGCCGAACGGTATCGAGCCTGACCCCGTGAAGAGCCTCGGCCGAGCCGGCGATGCTCGCGCCCCCTGTACGTGTCCCCGCAATGCCTTGCTACTCCGACGTTATGGCGGCCACTTGGCCAAACCCGCTGCTGGACCAAGATCTCCCCAAGTGTGAAGACACACGTGGGTAACGCATCACGTGACCGAATCGCCCGCAACGCGTCCCTCGACCTCGTCGGATCTCGGAAGCTAAGCAGGGTCGAGCTCGGGCTAAGTTTGTTTAGGACGGGCTTCCCGCACACTGCTGACCGGCGTGGTGAACTACGGTCTAAATAACCCTGGGGTGGGAGAGTTTGGGGGAGGGTGGTGGTGGGAGACCGTTATCCAGCAGTCGATTGGCTAACAAAGTGGGGTGACGCAGGGACTCCTTGCCCCCCCCCCCCCCCCCTGCACGCGAAGACGAACGCGCTATGCCGAAACGGAAGCGTCAAGCGCCAAGGGGAAGGCCCGCATTGTGACGTCAGCGCTCACGGCACCGCTGCCACCTGCCTCTCGCCCCGAGCACCACCTCTGTCCCCCCCCCCTGCACCGCCCCCCCCCCATCATCCCCACGACAGAGGGCTTCGGTCACCCTTCGCCAACCTTCCGAGTGACATTTTGGCCCAGACGCTTGACACAAAATACTCTGCCGCCCCCTCCCCCCGCACCCCCCAAAGCGCACGGTACTAGGGGGAGCAACGATGGTCCACTGCTGGATGAGGGGTGGTTCTCCCCACCACGCCGTGTCGGTCTTGGGAGTTGTTTGACCATACTTCGCCACGCCGGCACAGCGGAGGCTTTTGCGAAGCGCGGCGAGACAATGGATTCTGCCGCACTTGCCAGGGATACTAACGCCGCAGCGGCCTACAGCACAAGTATGTAGGCTGAACTTCTTTTGCACCGTACGTAGCCGACCGCGCCAATCGGGGGCGTTTTAATGCCACGTCGTCGCCCATCCGAGCGCTATCCAGGCCTAACCCTGCTTAGAGCTTCCGGCACACGTGACGAGAGCGGGGCGCTTTCCTGGGGCGATTTGGTCGGAAGCGCGACAAACCTAGCCGGGTCAACAAATCACCCAAACCGCAGCGTCACTCCACCCCCTAAACATTAAACTATCATATCTCCCCTCCCCCTACGTGTCAACCCCGTACAAACGAGCTTCGGTGGCTCCATCGCAGGCTTCGGAATAACCTCGGGGGCTGCAGGATAACGGCAGGACATTGCGGAGACCCCCCCCCCCCCCCCCCTACGGAACGGGAGACTCTGCTGCGTGGGAGTTTGAGAAGCTCTTTCGCCGTGGGGGATTGATCTGCCGCGCTCGCACACCGTCACACGTAGGTGACGCGGAACGGCAGGCGCGGCGACGGGCCCCCCGCGTCCCCCGGCTCCCCCGAAGCGCCGGGCGGCGCCGGCGGTGGCATGGTGGCGGAGGGCGCGGCGCGGGGAGAGAACGGGCGCAGGGAGGGGGCGAGGCAGCGGGAAGGGCTCTCCGATCTCCCGCCGCCAGCGCCACCGTTCTCCCCCTCCTCCTCCCCCTCTTCCTCCTCGTCGTCCTCCTCCTCCTCTTCTTCGTCGTCGCGCCGGCTGCTGAGAGAGTTGGAGCGCTGCACCAGTGGCCGGGTCGCCTCGGCGGTGGAGAGGCTCAGCACGGAGTTGGAGCGCGGCAGCTGGCGCCGCGAGCGCGGGGACGAGAGCGGAGGGACAGCGGTCGTCACGCCGCCATCGGGCACCGCGAGTCACCGGCACCAACTTACCGAGCGCCACCACCCCCCCCCCCCGGCCACCACCGTGCACCCCGCACCACCCCGCCGCGCGCACCGCACGTCATCGGCCGCGATCCGTCCGCCGCTGCCGGGTCGAGGCATCCCCCAAGCCGTGGGTGGCCACCTCTCGCGATCAGCCGACCGCCTGCACGCGAGCGGATTTGATCGCTCCGTCTGCGTGGTGGCCGCGCTCCCAGGCGCGTTCCCCTCCCTCTCGGCTGTCGCCAGCCTCCACCGCCACCCCCCCCCCACCACCGTGCACCTCGCTAGGCTCGACCGCCGGCGCGCGTCCCCCTTTTGGCCGTGACGCGTCCTGCCCAGCAGCCAAAGTCACGCCTCTGACCCGCGCACCACGTGCTCCGTCGTCCACGCGCCCCCTTTTGTCGCACCTCACCACTCTCTCCTGGTGACAACCCAGAGAGGGCTGCTTTGCTCGGCGCTGATAATCGATTCCACCACTGACCGCACGGAGGCATAAACCACTGACGGAGCAGAACTGGCTCCGTCGGACTCGCCAGGCCCACCCCCACGGCACAAGCCCCCACTCCCACCTGGCAACCCTTCCTCGGGTGACTCGCCAACCCCAGCCACTGAATAACCACTTCACCTGCTGCTACTGCTTCTGCTATTGCTGCTGCTACTACTATTACCGCTACCCCTGTGACTATTACTGCTGGTGCAGAGGAGGCTGGCCTTAGCTTGTCAATGCTGCTGCTGCTGCTGCCACTTCGAGCTCTCAGTCGATTCGGCCTCCTGACACTCGGCTCTCGGCATCCCTCACGTCACCGCTTCCAGGCCGGGCTAGCGAGCCGGCCAGCGAGCCGGGCCAGCGTGCCGGGCCAGCTGAGCCGGGCCAGCTAGCCGGGCCAGCTAGCCGGGCCAGCTAGCCGGGCCAGCTAGCCGGGCCAGCTAGCCGGGCCAGCGAGTCGGGCAGCTAGCCGGGCCAGCTAGCCGGGCCAGCTAGCCGGGCAGCTAGCCGGGCCAGCGAGTCGGGCCAGCGAGTCGGGCCAGCTAGCCGGGCCAGCTAGCCGGGCCAGCGAGTCGGGCAGCTAGCCGGGCCAGCTAGCCGGGCCAGAGAGCCGGGCCAGCTAGCCGGGTCAGCTAGCCGGGCCAGCTAGCCGGGCCAGCTAGCCGGGCCAGCTAGCCGGGCCAGCTAGCCGGGCCAGCTAGCCGGGCCAGCTAGCCGGGCCAGCTAGCCGGGCCAGCTAGCCGGGCCAGCTAGCCGGCCAGCGGCTCTCTCACTCTCCTCCTCTGCTCTTTCGAGGCCCCAGCGGCGGTCGATGAAGGAGGGGCCGCGCCCGTTTAGCGAGGAGAGGGAGACTTCAAATTGGTCGCAGTGGGCCACCGCCGTGAATGATAACGAGGGGGCCGGCGTGTTTAACATCCTCCGCGGCAACGCTCTGTGCGCGTGCACACGCGAGCGTAACGACGCGTCAATTAACATTCGTGCGCTCGCCCACGCGCCAATCAAATCGTGCACTCGGGCAATTATTAATTAGTTAATCTGCACGCACATTACGTGCCGAAGCTCATTCGTAATTTGCAGACCTTCATCAATCCGCCGATGGACGAATGCACTGGGTTATTCGACTCTGGCCGGTGGCGGGCTGGTAAGTGGTTGAGGATTGAGGAGGGGGTCGCGGATGTGCGCCCGGCAGGACCCGTCCACAGAGAGGACCGGCTGCTCATCCGAGTTCCCGTCCGTGGCCAGGAAGTGAACCTGGGGGTGGCCGGGTTCCGCCGATCGTTGGGGGGGCAACGGAACGAAAATTTTTCGAAATAAAAGGACTCGGATCACGACCCCGATTCAACAAACCGCTGCTGGGGGGGCAGGGGGCGTTTGGACACGTTAATCGCCACTCTCCTTGCGCTTCGCTAATGTCTAGCGGCGCCGCGGTAATCGCGCGGCACGCAACGGCGGCTCCCCCTCTCCGCACAAACGGCTCGCCGGCGTCGCGGAGATGACTGATGCGGAATCATTACACCTCATTACAAGCAAGACGAATACGGGCTGCCACGTGCGAGGCCAACCTGGCGCCGGTCGCCCGCCGCGGGAAGCCCAAGCCTCATGCCCCCCACCCCCACTCCCACGGTGGGGGGGCGGGAGGGGGGGGCGAGCACCCATCTGGAATTAAAATCTATACCCATGCACACGCGACGGATCCCGCCTCATTACAGATCTAATCTGGGCACGTCGTTAGCGGGAGAGCGTGGGGGGGCGGAGGCGGCGGGGGGGGGGAGGCGGGGGGACAGGCGCAATCCCCTACCCCTCCATTCATCACCACCATCACCGCCGCCGCTGCCACCGCCACTCAATCCCGGCCTCGCCTATGATTAAGATTGTAATCCGCAACGGTCGCGCCGCGTCGCCGCGCCGGATTTACGGCGCCCGGCACGCGCGCCAACGTTGCCGCACGGGCTGAGAGCACGCACGCCGTCGGTCATCCTGCGTCATGCCGTGACCGCCAATCGCCGGGCAGCGGCGGCGGCGCGATGGTACGCGCGGCAAGGCCCAGCCAGGCAGCCAGAGGAGCGAGTGTGGCCCATCGGCTTGGGTCCTCCCCATCGCAAGTGCTTCGCTTCTCCACGACGTTGTTCTGATCGCGCTACGGGGACAGGATGGCTGCGTTCGCGAGGGATGAACCTTTCAGATATCACCACAGAGCTACCAAATATCACCACAGAGCCACCAAATATCACCACAGAGCTACCAAATATCACCACAGAGCCACCAAAAATCACCACAGAGCCACCAAATATCACCACAGAGCCACCAAATATCACCACAGAGCTACCAAATATCACCAGAGCTACCAAATATCACCACAGAGATACCAAATATCACCACAGAGCCACCAAATATCACCACAGAGCCTCCAAATATCACCACAGAGCCACCAAATATCACCACAGAGCCTCCAAATATCACCACAGAGCCACCAAATATCACCACAGAGCCTCCAAATATCACCACAGAGCTACCAAATATCACCACAGAGCCACCAAATATCACCACAGAGCTACCAAATATCACCACAGAGCCACCAAATATCACCACAGAGCCTCCAAATATCACCACAGAGCCTCCAAATATCACCACAGAGCTACCAAATATCACCACAGAGCTACCAAATATCACCACAGAGCTACCAAATATCACCACAGAGCCACCAAATATCACCACACAGCCACCAAATATCACCACAGAGCCACCAAATATCACCACACAGCCACCAAATATCACCAGAGCTACCAAATATCACCACAAAGCCACCAAAAATCACCACAGAGCCACCAAATATCACCAGAGCCACCAAATATCACCACAGAGCTACCAAATATCACCAGAGCCACCAAATATCACCACAGAGCTACCAAATATCACCAGAGCCACCAAAAATCACCACAGAGCCACCAAATATCACCACAAAGCCACCAAATATCACCACAGAGCCACCAAATATCACCACAGAGCTACCAAATATCACCAGAGCCACCAAATATCACCACAGAGCCACCAAATATCACCACAGAGCTACCAAATATCACCACGGAGCTACCAAATATCACCACAGAGCTACCAAACATCACCACAGAGCCACCAAACATCACCACAGAGCCACCAAAGATCACCACAGAGCTACCAAATATCACCACGGATCTACCAAATTATCAGAGCTACCAAATATCAACGAGCTACCACCGAGGTGATTTCAATTGACGTCTGGTCCACACAGTAGCGCGGGCGGGCGGGGGCAGCACTGATCTCCTTCATCTGGGAGCGCCTCTCGTGGTGGCCGCTGCCGACTGCACCGGTCACAGCCCAAGCCCCCCTCCCCGTGGCTCTCGCCAGCCAACGCGTTCAACCGAAACCTCAAAACCGTCGCTCGCCGACTCCCCAGCCGTATGGAGACGAGCGACGTTGCCCCCCCTCCTGCCCACCTGCCCGCCCGAAGAGCCAACTCGTGGAATTTCTTACGGATTTTTTTCCTCCCCCATCGCACGCTCCCGTAAAACGGGACAAACTCGGAATGACACTTACACAAGCCCAGTCCAAACTCATTTTCTGGTTCCGCGGGTTCAGAAAATCCCCCTCCGCCGACCTGCAAGTCCTCCGTGATCCGAAGCGCGACTGCCAAACGTGAGCCCAGCCAGGGCTCGCGTCTGATCCCCCTCCCTAATGGAATCCAATCCGACCGCAAATCAACTACAAGATTGTCTTTACCGCCCGCTCGGTCCCGTGGCGGCGGCGGCATCCAACAAACCCCCCCCCCCCCCCGGCCACGCCGTCCACCCTCGCCGTCCATCCACGCTTCTCGCCTCGCTCCCCAGCCCCCACAACCGCCGCCACAACCGCCGCCCCGTTTCCCCGCTGCACGTGCGTCACGCGCCGGCTCGCGCCGGGGATGGATGGATGGAGCGAGAGGTTAGCGTTTCGCGGTGTCGGAGACGGCCCTCAAACGGCACACACGCACACACAGACTCGCGCGCGAACCACTCGGTAAATCTAAAAACGGGCCGCCGCCGCCTCCGCCGCCGCCGCTGCACCTTCACCGAGATGTTCGATCGTTGCTCTTTGCCGGATCCCGGCAGGGGGTGAATTTTTTTCCCCGTAGAGCCAACGGCGTTCGTAGCGCGGTTGTGAAGCGAACAACCAGAGGTGCTCCCGTTGGGGCAAGCGCTGTTGGCGAGCGCCTATTAAGGCCGGCACGGCACACGAGCAGGTGGTGTGGTCGGGACCACGCCCGGCCGCCTTTGTCTCTCCAGCAGTGATGTTAACACGCCGCCAACAACGTGCCCGTTCAAGGCCCAGTCGACCTAGGGGAGGGGTCCAGGACTGGTTCCGATGTTTGTCGTCGGCGTTGGCTTTGAGCGGCAATCGAACCGACTCGCCCTGAACGCGCCCCAATCTCGTCAGGCCTCGCAAGCTAAGCAGGCTGGCAGCCCGCTTCTTCTTTGCGACCACCACCAGCGCCTAGCCAGCTGTTGCAGGCGTACGGTTGCGGCGACGAGGTGGGGTGGCGCTGAGGAGTCGGTGGTGGTGAGGAGGAGGAGGAGTGGGTTGTGGTGTTGTGTTGGTGGCAGAAAGGATGGGTGGGGGTGGCGGTGATAGAGAGGAAGGAGGCGGAGTGAGTGAGTCACTGTGAGAGTGAGTGAGTGAGTCACTGTGAGAGTGAGTGAGTCACTGTGAGAGTGAGTGAGTGAGTCACTGTGAGGGTGAGTGAGTAAGTCACTGTGAGAGTGAGTGAGTGGTTGAGTGAGTGACCGTGAGAGTGAGTGAGTCACTGTGAGAGTGAGTGAGTGAGTCACTGTGAGAGTGAGTGAGTGAGTCACTGTGAGAGTGAGTGAGTCACTTTGAGAGTGAGTGAGTCACTGTGAGAGTGAGTGAGTCACCGCGAGCGTGAGTGAGCTGGTGTGCCGGCGACCCATCGACCAATCCTTGTGTCCTTCGAAGCCCCCCGGGGAGCGGCCCCCGTCACCGGACTGCGGGGGGCTGCCCGCGCGGGCCCGCTGCGCGGCTTGCTTGGGCGTCTTCGAGAAGGAGAAGGCCCGGGTCACCTGACCGGGAGGGGAGGGGCGGGGTGGACACGAGTTCACGACCGCGGTCTGCGTGGGCCGTTTCGTGAAGTGTACCTCCCCCCCCATGGCACATGGGGGAGGGGGGGGGGAATGTGCGGGACGCCGTGGCCAACTTGGGACGCTCGGTGGCACCCCCAGCCTGGGTGTCACCGAGTCGCGGTGTGACGCAGTGTGACGCTGTGATATGATGACTCAATGTGACGCGGTGTGACGTGGTGTGATGTGGTGTGACGTGGTCTGACGCTGTGATATGGTGTGACGCTGTGATATGGTGTGACGCTGGGTGACGCTGGGTGACGCCACGTGACGTGGTGTGACGCTGTCTCAGCGATAGCGCGATCACCGCTCGCTGGAGAGGTGTGTGGCATGAGCCCGGCGGCCGCCCTGGTAAATACTGCAGTGTGTACTAACCATGAAGTATGCGCACCGTCCACTTAGCAACACACCCGCTTGGGTAAAACCACCGAGAAACACGACCCCCTACTAGGCCACAACACACCTGTCTGTGAAACATCGTGGTGTTTTGATAGCCTACAGGAATGGAGCAAATTCCAAATGTCACCAATTATTATATTTAATGCACCCAATCTCGTCAGAAGCTAAGCAGGCTTTGAGTCTGGATCAGTATTTGGTCGGGTGAGCACCGGGGGCTTGCCAGGTGTTGTAGGCGGGGAGGAGGGCGGGCGGGGGAGCTGTGAGGTGTGACGAGGTGGAGACGGTGCGGCTTACGCTGCGAGCGAGCGCAGAGAAGGCCGTGCATCAGAACCGGCGGGGGAAGACTATTCATGCAGGCCACACACGCACGCATGCACATATATAACACGGCGCGCACGCACGCGCACACACACACACCCGGGCGCGCTCACACACACTTCCCGCTCGACCCCCGCATCATAAAAATAAATAAAGGATGGAGATGCCCGTGGGACGGCAGCGGTGCTATTTACGAGGCAGCTCACGGCCTCGTAAAGGCTCTCAAGGCGCCCGCTGCCCGGCAGCTCTGCTGGCCCAGATTAAACCTGGCAAGGCCCCCCCCACCCACCCCCCTAAATCCTTTGGGACCCCCCCTCCTCCCCTTCCCCCTCCCCCCGCTAGCGCCATATCGTGAAGAGGACATTGGTGGCAGGAAATTGCGGCCCGTGGTGCTCGCCATTCCGATCACTCGCAGAACAGTGTTGATGCCCCCCCCCTAACCCAAAACTACAGAATAGCCCGCACACACATGGACATCTCTTGACGTGACCTCGGGTCCACATGGCGGGAGGCAGCGGTCTCCCCGACTGAACCTGACGCTGACGCTTCGTGGCGTGAGTGCCGAGGCGATAATGACGATTCTCAAGTCGCTGGGTGACCGGCTTTAGACCACGAACTCCCTGCGTTTGGGAATCCGGTTTAAAATGGCAGCAGGCCGAAACCTGGATTCAAACCCAGGCCCTCTGCTGTGACCGGCACAGCCTTGTGACCTCTAAGACAGATTGCCAAGCGGGGCTTTGGTCACGTGATTCAATTCAATCCCCGTGCAAGCGAACTTAGCGAGGGCGCTCGACGGCCTCTTCGAATCATCGACGAGGCGTCTCGACTATTCACGACGTGCGAAAATGACGTGCAAACCGTCGCTCGATGCAGCGTGCGGGCAAAGAGCGCGCGGCCGAACCGGCGAGAGTAGGAGACTGAAGGTAAAAAGTCAGGGGGGGGAGGGTGGGGGCAAACTACGACTCCATCAAAACTTTCCAAGGATTGAACCGCGCCACCGATCGGTGACAAATCACCGGCTCGCTATTGGGATGCCGTCGCCGTGGCTAAAGGCTGCGGCCGTGGAGTTTCAACGAAATAAAAAAAAATCGAAATCAAATCGACGCCTTAATCTCGCGCAAGCTGCAAATTCAAGCCTCGGGTGAACGCTTGGAGAGATGTGGGGGGACTCAAACGCACTGGGGTTAAGGCGCTGCCTTTATTTCCCCCCCCGATCGCAAAGTGGACGCACGTCACGCGCTCTACGTCCGGTGAGAGAAGGGCACAGAAGGCCCTGAAACGCTCGGCCGACGAAAATGTTCAATTTGAAACATTTTCCAAAATTCTAAATGAAAACTTTTAAACGGTTAGTTAACTTTTTTTGTTATCTACAAAAAATGGCCTACACAATTAGAAAGCAGACTTCTAATGACCTCCAAAAGGCAAAACGACTATCATGACGTAAGTAACAATTAAAAAGAATTCAATCACGTGACCAAAGCCCCGCTTGGCACTCCGGCCCGGGTGCACAGAAGCAGTGCTTTGTGGGTAGCGACTCCGATGGGACAGCGAGAGAGAGAGGGGGGGGGGCGCTGGGTGGGCAGTAACCGTCTCTGAAGCTCACTCTTCCGCACGCGCGTCCGGCGCCTGCGGGCGACTGCTTCGTGATTGAACAAATCACGGAGTCCTACGGACGTCGGCGCCTGTGTGTGTATGGAAAATGAATATTTTGTTGTTTAATTTTTTTTTTACGAAAGGCTTTTATTTACTTATTTACGGCGAGGTGCCACGCCCCACGTCCACCCCCACTCTTTTCCGCAAATTAGTGAGAATTTTTTTTTTCAGCTTTCCTCCCCGCACCGCGGCCGCCAAATTTGACAAAAAAAAAAGAGAGAGAGCTTAATGTCAGGGCCTTTCCTTGTGTAAAGATCCACGGCTGGCTTATAAACGATCGATGGTCGGAGAGGGTGGGGGGGGGTTGGGGGGGTTGGGGGGGGGGATAACATTTCCCACGGCCGTGTCTCGGCAAAAAAGAGGTTTTCACCTCGTTTTACACGAAAAGGTTCCAGCACATCTGCCCCGACGGTCCGGACAACGGCGGTGGCACCGGGCCGAGCCGTGGCTTGCTGCAAAGGCTTTGCGGTTCCAACTCCCCACGGCCACCCCTCCCTGGTTAATGCTGGCGGGTTTAATAACCATGAACGTACCACGGCACGCCCACCCCTCCTCCGATTCACGGTGCACGTTAAAGATCCCGTCACGTAATTCTAAAAAGTGTTGGGGGCGCCACGCGATCCGGTGTCACGGTCCGAATTTGGTTGAATGAAAATAAAATAAAGACCCATTCATTACTCGATTGGGAATCGACGTCGCAACATCGCCCATCGACTGAGGAACTTAGTCGGACCCTCCGCAGTAAGTCGATAAATATCGCCCACATAACTTAGCAAACGCAGAAATACACGGGAGGTAACGACGGGAGGGAATGGGAGACGGACCGAGTCAGGAAACGAGAGGAAAGAAGCAACCCACCCAGCCAGCTGCCCACTGAGCTAACCACCCAACCACTCACCCAGCCAACCACTCAGCCAGCCACCCAGTCAGCCACCCAGCCACTCACCCAGCCAGTCACTCAAACAGACACCCACCCACCCAGCCAGCCACTCAAATAGCCACCCACCCAACCAGTCACCCAGCCAGCCACTCAAACACCCACCCACCCAGCCACTCACCCAGCCAGCCACCCAACCACACACCCACCCACCCACTCAAACTGACCCACCCACCCGCTCACCCACCCACCAACTCACTAATCCACCTGCCAGCTTACCTACCTACCCACCCACGAGGGGAAGCAACTTGGTGGCTCGCCGACACAGCGGAGTTGACAAGGAACGTTTTTTAGGAGAGCCGAGAAAACGGCGAGGGAGGTTTCGGGGGGGGGGGGGACGGAGGCCCATTGTGGAATAGACCAGAAGCGTCCGCTCCGTCGCGTGGACATCAGGGGAGACGCGTCGGCGGGCGAGGTCACAACGCAAGCGCTATCTCCGGACGCTGCGGTGCCTCGTGCAAACAGATCTTGTTTACCCGTGACAACGGCGCTGCCGTACAGCGGTCGGCGAGCGCGACGCTCGCTCCGCAGCGACGAGATAGCAGTCGTCGCAATCGTCCTCATCGTGAGCCAGCCATGTGTGGCAGGTGAGTGACAGGTGTGTGTGTGGCCTGTCTAGTGTGTGGTTAGTGTGTGGTCAGTGTGTGTGTGTGGTGGGTGTGGTCAGTGTGTGTGAGAGGTGTGTGTCGTGTGCGCGGTCTGTCGTGTGACAGGTGTAGGTGGTGTGTGGTTGGGGTGTGTTTGTGTGTGGTAGGTGGTGTGACGGCTGTGTGTGTTGTGGCAAGTGTGGTGTGGCGAGCGTGCAGTGGCGAGTGCGGCGAGTGTGGCGTGGCAAGTGTGGTGTGGCAAGTGTGGAGTGGCAAGTGTGGAGTGGCAAGCGTGGAGTGGCGAGCGACACCTTCTTTGACGTCTTCTTGATGGCACGGGAGGCGCGGCTCAGCGTGCTGTCCACTGCTCGTGTGCTCACGTCGATCGCGACTGGGTTGATCGGATAAATCAGACTCTCCTGCCACACACACACACAGATACACACACACAGATACACACAGAGATATACACACACAGATCCCCCGTGTAGCCTACGCCTGACACACACATAGATACACAAACACACAGATACAGACACAGACCCCCCGTGTAGCCTAAGCCTGACACACACACACACAGATCCCCCGTGTAGCCTACACCTGACACACACACAGATACACACACAGAGATACACACACACAGATACAGATCCCCTGACACACACATAGATACACAAACACACAGATACAGACAAAGACCCCCCGTGTAGCCTAAGCCTGACACACACACACAGATCCCCCTTGTAGCCTACACCTGACACACACACAGATACAGATACACACACACACACAGATACAGACACAGACCCCCCGTGTAGCCTAAGCCTGACACACACACACAGATACACAAACACAGATACACACACACAGATACACACACAGATATAGACACAGACCCCCCGTGTAGCCCAAGCCTGACACACACACACACAGATACACAAACAGATACACACACAGATACACACACAGATACACACACAGATACAGACACAGACCCCCCGTGTAGCCTATGCAGATCATTGGGCAGAGTGCCGTCAGCGAGAACCGATGAAGGCCAGCGCGGCGGTGTAGTCAGGTGGTGTGGTCAGGTGGTGTGGTCAGGTGGTGTGGTCAGGTGGTGTGGTCAGGTGGTGTGGTCAGGGGGTGTGGTACTGCGTGTGTGCGCGTACTGTGTGCGCGTGTATTGTGTGCGTGTGTACTGTGTGCGCGTGTGCGTACTGCGTGTGTACTGTGTGTGTGCGTGTACTGTTTATGTGCGTGTACTGCGTGTGTCTACTGCGTTTGTGCGTGTACTGCATGTGTACTGCATGTGTGCGCGTAATGTGTGCGTGTGTGCGTGTGTACTGTGTGCATGTGTGCGCGCTACTCGGCAGGCAGGTTGCCTCCTCGTGCGGTGTCTCGCTTTGCCGCGCCCCTTCGGTTTTGCACCGCATCTACTACGACTACCACCGCCGCCGCCGCCGCACCGAACTCGGGCGGCCGTTCACAAGCACGGCGAGCCGGGACGACGCACGGTTCAGGATCGCCAAGAGCCGAGCGGGCGGCGACTTGGCGAGCAACTGCACGCGCGACTCGCGTTCACGTGCGACTCGCGTTCACGTGCGACTCGCGTTCACGTGCGACTCGCGTTCACATGGGACGAGCGCTCGGGGTTAACGCTCCGGTCCACTCCCCCCGTTTAGCGAAAGGGACCCCCCCCCCCACCACCCTCATTCCGATTCTCATCCATCGACTGGAAGCGTTAATTTTAGTTTCCCCGCCTCCCCCCCGAACATAGACAGCCTTCGGTAGGGCAGCGGCGGTGTAACCTAACCGCGACCAATTAGAACCAATAACCGAGTGTGAGAAATTGTACGTGCTCCGAGGGTGATAATTGACCAAGTTTCCCACCAATTAAATATCTCGATCTGTATTCCAATTGCACGTGCGATCGCATACGCGAACGCCGGCCGCCGACACGTGCGCGTGCTCGATCGAGCGCGTGTTATCAGACGACGCGCGAGCGAGCGAGCGAGCGAGCGGTCACAAGCGCGCACCTGCCCACGCGCGCTCTGCTCGCGCGCGCACAAATTGACGACCGCGCTCAGACGCAGGGACGCGCGCGGGCCGAGATTACAAGGGTTCGGGGTGGCGGGGAATGGTGACTGAAAGCAAATGAGGCGTGGGTGTCCCGTTACAACCCACGATGTAGATCCTGCTGAGCCATGCTCATTCACACCGACTAACACCGACCCTGCGCCCATTCACACCGACCAACACCGACCCTGCCTACACACACACCAACACCACTAACACTAATCCTGCACATTCAAAACGACTAACCAATGCCCATTCACATACACAAGCCAAACTGACACGTACCCTGCCCAACCACAGAGACCAACCCTGCCATGGACTCCAGATTCCCAGTGGTAGTGCCCGACGACGGGCTTGCGACAACGCAGAGATTCGGCAACCGCTCGCTCAGAAGCGGGCAAAGCCGTCGCCGCGATTCGGTTCGCGAAACCGAACCCCCGGGCGCCGGATCGGACGCACGTGTCGCCGGCTCCGCGCCACGTGGCGACGCGCAACGAGCTAGACGGCCGAGCGGCACGTGCCGAGTGCCACCTCCACCGCCCGCCGCCCCTCCCCCCATCACTGCCCCCCCCCTCTTCTCCCATCCACCCCCCACCGCCGCAATGAAGAGGCTTCGAGGCCTCGGCTCAATTAGTGAATAATGCACCCGTCCCCAAGGATACGACGGGGCTGTAGCGTTGGGTGGGGGAATGGCCCAGGACAGGAATAGTGCGTGGGTTAGCGGTGGTGGATGATGAAGGGGAGGGGAGGGGCTGACACAAGTGGGAATGATGCCAGGGATAAGAAGACTGCATTCGAAACGGCCGGACGTTGCCGGCACTGTCCACGGAACTCCGCAGTCGTCCCGGGGATTCGACGGCTCGTCACGATTCCCGGTCAGGTCGTGTTGTCCCCGCGAGTGACCGGACTGTCATTTGGTCTCGTCCGGCCGCCCCGTTTGCAGCGTTGCTCGCGTGCTTGCTTCGTTTGCACCACTACGTCCATCCTCATTCCTCTTTCGTGCGGCCGCGTCGCAGAGTTGAGACGGCCGATTTTTATGAACGGCGATAAAAGTTGTGGATCGACGGCGGGCCAGGCACCCTTGGCCGTCTGGCAGCGATCGCCGCCAGACGACGGCTGGAAGCAGATGACTGCGTTCGTCGAAATGCGACGGATTCCGTGGATCGTCATGATTCTGGGTCGGTCGCGATTCCGTTCAGGAAATTGAGCGCTACTTCGCGGTGAAGTGTTTTTGGGTTCGAGATCTCATAAATGTGTCGTGCACCCACCTCCACCCGACACGGCCGATCAGCGAACAGAACGTGCCAATTAGTAGCAACTTCAGCACCGCCAGTTGTGAGTGTTGGAGAGCGAATGTAACAACATTCACAACTGAGTACAACGTGATCATTGTTTTTTTTACCCTTTTATCTGGCAACAAAACTGACACCTTTTTTTACAAGGAGTCATGTTTGCATTGACCACAATACCTGCAGTCGGAATGCAAACAAAAAACACAACTCTGATAATGTATGCACTGTCCTTGAAATTGATTGGTCCACAATCAATTTTAAAAAAGGTGTCAGTTTTGTTGCCAGATAAAAGGGTAAAAAAACAATTATCATATTTTGCTACTGGCAAATGAGGTTCCAATGGTGAGTACAACGTTTCTCTGGTGATGACAACCAGCACCAACAGGCGATTGCCAGAATTGTGAAGACGCCTTCTTGTTTTTCGGTCAAACCTTCAGGTGGAGGTGGGTGTACGACACGGTTGCATTTACATGATCCAAAACCCAAAAAATAAGCTTTATCGTGAATATATATTGGTAGCGAAAGCCTACGTGTTCAACCAGATCATCACCCGTCTGATTTTTTAAACCTGGATTTGAACCCCAGGATGGCTACGCCCTCTGACCCCCACCCCCCCGCAACAATGGGCGGGGATTTGATTATCGGCACCTCAAAAATCCACTCCGCGTCGCCACTGCACGCCCCGACCGAATTGCCCAACCGCCGGTTCCGGCACGGGCATCGACTCACCGCGTCGGGCTTGCAGATGGTGTTGGCCACCTGCCGGCTCAAGGTCTTGAGCCACTCGGCCTTGCGCGAGGTCCCCACCTCCGCCAGCAGCTGGAACGTGAACAGGTGATCTTCGTTCTCCGTGGGAGGACGCACCACGAGCCCGAACGCGTTCGAGCACTCTGCACGCGCGCACGGACACACACAGAGACCCCCCCCACCGTGTAGCCTTTAAGAAACCCGCTGGGCAAAGTGGTGTTCGCGGGTAGCACCTATGCAGGCAGGCCACGGCACACGAGGAGGTGAAAGTGGCCAGCACCACGCCCGGTCGCCGTTGTCGCTGCAGTGCCGAGTTTTGTTTGCACGACGCACCGCGTATTCATTTGAGGTTACCAATTTGACCTGGGGGAGGGCCCAAGACCGGTTCAAATATTCGCCACCGATTAATTATTGGTCATGAGCGGGAATTGAACTCGGGTTGCTGGGTTCATAGCGCGGTGTGCAAACCAACACATGCACCGTATCAGGTTCTCATTTGAGGCCGAGTCGACCTAGGCGAAGCCCAGGACCGGTTCAGATAATCGTCACCGGTGTTGGCCGTGAGCGGCGATCGAACCCGGGTCGCCGGGGTACGAAGCGCAGCGCGGCAACCGATGAGCTACCGCTCCCCGAAGTAACACACGCGCACACACATTGCCACACGCCGGCTCTGCCTTGCCATCCCCACCGCCACCGCCATCGCACGCGGCTCCCGCGCGAATTGGCTATTTGTCACGAGCCGTTCGCCCGCGCGCCGAGCGGACTCATTACACACCGTCTAATGTGAGGCCTCATTACCCCGGCTCACCACGTTACCCCGGCTCACCACATTACCTTGGCTCACCACACTGGGCAGCCAGGAGGGGGGGAGGGCGGCTGTAGCCCTCGCAACACAACACACCACTCACGCACGCAGACAACACGCGCACGTACGCAAACAACACGCGCACTCACGCACGCAGACACACAGACAACACGTGCACTCACACGCGGATAACACGCACACTCACAACACGGACAACACGCACACTCGGACAACACACGCGGACAGCATGCGCACTCACACGCAGACAACACGCAGACTCACAACACAGACAAAGAACAAAGATACCCCGCGTAGCCTTCACAGACTAGAGGGGCAAGCGCTATTAGCGAGCACCTTTGAAGGTCGGCACGGCACGCGAGGGGGTGGGTGGCCAGCACCACGCCCGGCCGCCTTTGTCTCCCCAGCGGCGATGTTTACACGCCGCACCAGGTACTCATTTGAGGCCGAGTCGACCTAGGGGATGCCCAGGACCGATTCAGACAATCGTCGCCGGTGTTGGCCGTGAGCGGGAATCGAAGTCGTGTCCCCACCGGGTTCGGAGCGCGGCGCTAACCGTTGCACCACCGCTCCCCACGCACGCACCTACACGCGCGTAACGGCACTCGCGCACGCGGCCACACGGCTGAACAGGGGAGGCGTGCGGAGAGGGGGGGGGGGCGCGAACGAGGCTCATGAGATTACGAGGGGCGGGCGCGGTGAACGTCGTAGAGTGCAGGCACCCGCAGAGGGGCGCGCGAGAGAGAAAGATGCGAGGGAAGGAGCGGTGGGAGGAGGAGGAGAGGGACTTGTGACCCACCCTCCCGCCCGACTGCACGCGGCACAATCACCGCAGCGGCTGCTGCTACTACTGCCACGCCTGAGCCAACGTGGGAGCACAGCGGATCTCTGGACGTGGTGACCAGATGTGCGTGCTTGCTTGCGTGCGTGCGTAATCGTGCGTGCGTGCGTAAGCGCGTACGCGGGGGGGGCACGAGTGATGCCGGAGCGAGGAGGGCGCGCACGTGCGGCGTGACGCGTGTCGCCGCGGTCGCATCCAACCACGGAGGCGACGCACACAGATGGAGGGATCGCGCACACGCCATGCACACACATGACGCAGATGTAATCCAGAGAGACCGACTGTTTGAGAGCACCTGTGAAGGCTGGCACGGCGCACCACACGACGGAGTGGTTTGGCGAGAACCACGCACGGCCGCCTTTGTCTCCCCAGGTACTCATTTGAGGCTGAGTCGACCTAGGGGAGGCTCAAGAGAGGTTGAGGTGATTGTCACCGGTGCTGGCCGTGAGCGGGAATCGAACTGAGGTCGCCAGGGTTGGAGCACGGTGCACGAACCACGACACTACCGCTCCCAACACACAAATACCACCCACTCACAGATCACAACATCACTCAAAATGCACACACACACGCATAACATGTCCACCAAACACATCACACAGACAAAGCATGTACATCACACACACAAAACATGTACATCACACACACACCCCACGTACAGGAATCGCGCACACACACACACCACATCGGAGGCAGGGTGGCGCAGTGGAGACACTTCTGCCTCTCAGCAAGAAGTTCCTGGGTTCGATTGCAGACTCTGGCACCTTTCATAAGCGTGGAGTTTGTGAGTGAGTGGAGTTTGTGTGTTCTCTGCCCCTGTTCTGTAGTGAGTGTGTGGAGTTTGTGTGTTCTACCCCTGTTCTGTAGTGAGTGTGTGAGTGAGTGGAGTTTGTGTGTTCTCTACCCCTGTTCTGTAGTGAGTGTGTGAGTGAGTGGAGTTTGTGTGTTCTCTACCCCTGTTCTGCATTGAGTGTGAGAGTGAGCGGAGTTTGTGTGTTCTACCCCTGTTCTGCAGTGAGTGTGTGAGTAGAGTTTGTGTGTTCTCTACCCCTGTTCTGCAGTGAGTGTGCGAGTGAGTAGAGTTTGTGTGTTCTCTACCCCTGTTCTGCAGTGAGTGTGTGAGTGTGTGAGTAGAGTTTGTGTGTTCTCTACCCCTGTTCTGAAGTGAGTGTGAGCGAGTGGAGTTTGTGTGTTCTCTACCCCTGTTCTGTCGTGAGTGTGTGAGTGAGTGGAGTTTGTGTGTTTCTACCCCAGTTCTGCAGTGAGGGTGTGAGTGAGTAGAGTTTGCGTGTTCTACCCCTGTTCTACAGTAAGTGTGTGAGTGAGTGGAGTTTGTGTTCTCTACCCCTGTTTTGTAGTGAGTGTGTGAGTGAGAGATAAGTGGAATTTGTGTGCGTGTAATCTCTCGGTATTTGGTCAAAACACCCCAATGCTGAAGAAAATGACCCCTTCCCCCAATGCGAAAACTTGGCATGACCCCCCTGAAATGAGTCTTGAGACTCCGGCGAGCCCTTTGTGTGTAAACAAAGCAGAAAGAAAATAAATAAAAGAGATCGCACACATCAAGTCAGATCTCGCACAGCACAGACACCGCTCGCATCACGTCCGCCGACACCACATCGATCAAATCAAACAAATAATATCATACACATCACACACATCACATCCTACACATCATATCACGCACATATCGCTCACACGAAGCTTTTCTGAGCGTTGGGATGTTTTGACCAATGCCGGTCACACTGCATCGTTTGTTCTTTGTAGCTACGGGGGTAAAGCGAAGACCCTAGAGGAAACCCCATGCAGAACAGAACAGGAATAGAGAACGTACTCCCGCCACGCATTTATGGGCCAGAGTCGAGAATCAAACTCAGGCCCTTCTTCGCAACTGCGCCACCCTGCCGCGCTCTAACACACCACAGACGCATGCATTCATTTACATTACAGCTCGTAAACATTGCGCAAACGCATCAGCCACACGTGCACCGCCACAGCAAGCATTGTGCTCATCGCATGCACCACGCACAATAAACTCAGAAGGTGTGTTCACATCACACGCACCCTAAACACCATCGAGATTACACCACTCATCCATGACACAACCCACAAAGATCCCCCGTGTAGCCTTAACAGACTGTTGGGGCAAGTGCTGTTAGCGAGCAGCACCTATGAAGGCCGGCACGGCGCACGAGGGGGTAGTGGGTGGCCAGCACCACGCCTGTTTCCAGGGCATTAGGTACTCATTTTAGACTGAGTCGACCTAGGGTAGGCCCAGGCCGGGTTCAGATATTTGTCACCGATGTGCAGTGCACGAACCACTGGGCCACCACTCCCTGCCACACATCACACAGGATCACGTTACCACACACACCACAAACACATCACACTCGCATGATATACACACACACACACCACACACATCACAAGCAAACGACACACATCACCACACACATCAATCGCATAATAACAACAGCCATTCGCTACTAAGCGGCAGTGACGTAACCACCGAGCTTGTGCCAGGCTAGGTGCACTTTGACGCCACGAAGTATCGACGGCTCACTGACAGATCATGGGACAGGCCCATGTGCCATGGGTTAAATGACTGAGATGACTGACAATTGTAGACACGTACACACAAATCCGTCACACCATCCCGCACTCACGTCACGTACACCCACCACACACATCACAACAACTCACATCACACTCCTTACACGCTCGCATCACATCCGCATCCCACATGTGGCCCAAACGCATCACACGCTCGCACATCACACGCTCGAGCATCAAACACGCGCGTTGCATAAATCGCGCGCGCGCGCACACACACACTCAAGTCACGTACACACTAAACACACGCACGCACAGACCCTGGAGTAAGTGCTGTAATCGACAATCTGTTCAGTCTCGCGTGGCACGTGAGAGGGTGGTGGTGGTTGGCCAGAAACCATTCCTGGCCGCCTTGAGGACGGTCACATGACACTCGCCACAAGGGATGGAGCGGTGGAGCGGTACAGCGGTGGTCAGCGCTAGAACACAAAGCACGGCCATCATCAGTGGCAAGGGATACCCAAGCGGGATCTGGGCTCCCCACCTCACCAAGCCGCGCTCATACGGAGACACTCGCAGACACAAGCATCATTCGCAGACATACACACAAGATACATCAAACACACAAGCATATACATGCGCACACGCATACACACAGTAAACAAGCACCACACATACACACACACCACAACCATACACAACAACAACCGCCATTCGCCACTAAGTCACGGTGACGTCACCACGTCGCTTGTGCTCGGCGATGTGCACGTTAAGGCTACGTGAAGTGTCGAATGCCCGCTGGCTGGAGGTCACGGGACAGACCCTGGTGCCATTGGTTGACCAACTGAGATGACTGGCCGATGCACCACCTGTGCCCCCTACTGTGCCAACTTGCTGTGTTTAAGCCACCCGGCGCTCCGCTAGTT